ATTGTGTAGAATTTAACAAATAATACAGTTAATAGTTCTAATCTCTTTCTTACATTAATATCATTATAAAGTCAAATCTTTAAAAAGAATATGCATGACTGAATTAATGATGACAAGATCACTCAACCATTTAGGATTTTATACGAAATGAAATATGAAAAAAATTTCAGATATTGAAAATGCTACTACATATATGTCTACATAAAAGTCACTCCAACATATTTTGTTTTAATTTAATATCCTGTTAAAAACTGATTCACATAGATATATTTAATCATTCTAGCATTTTGTGAAGTTGAACAAAATTAAACTAATCACAAATACATGTGAATGCTTACAGACTTTCAGCTCCTTTTTACTACTCATAAACAAACTTGGTTTTGGGAAAAATTTAAGCTTTCAAACTTTAAGAATGAAAAGGGAAAATTTCTGTTTGAAAGCAAATATTCTACAAAAGGCTCAAATATTTAATTCAATGCATGCTTAAAAAGTCATGAAAGAAAAAGAAAAAAACCTCCAGATATCACCAGCATTCTTCAGCTTTACTCTAGCATAGCAAATAAGCCAACATATTACCTTTATAGAAATGAAAGTTATAACTGACGTTATAATCATGTGAAATGAATCAAATATATATTGCCTGTATTGTGTCTTGTGAAAATATTTTGAAAATCAATTAAAAATAATGTATAGCTTGTTAATCAAATTTTGATATGGAAAAAAAAAAACTGTCCACTAATATTTCTGAAATTGGAGATATAGTGTCAATTGAATGGTACATGGTGTTAAATATGACTCTATCTTCATCAGTGATGTATAACTATAGGAATGTTCCAACTAAATCATCGATCAATGGGGAAAACAATTGAAACACTCATTTAAGAAGAATGCATGAGTGAAAAAAAAAACAGAAGAAATAAGTAGGTATAAAATCTATCTCGGCTGATCACATGCCTTTCATCTCACAACCTAAAAGTAATACATGTATGATGCACAGGAGCCATATGTGATGTACATTATTGGCATACTTTCAAAATTCTTTCCATATTTTATGTTGTCTTGGCATTTGTGTTGTGTTTTTTTTTTATTTTTCTTTATTTCTTCCATCCCTGCATGTCTAGTTGTGTGCATGTTTCATGCTAATGACAGGAGTGAACACATCTCCTATCCCAACAGTACACACACGTCAGAAACTTTTTAATTTCTGTCTGTTCTGCAGAGCATTAAATTTGCAAGGTATTATAATACTGGGATCAAGCTTGGTCATAAAAAATTCAGGTTTAAAAATATAATCAAGGGTTAATATTTCCTTATTTATTTGTTCCATCAAAAACTTAAATTCACCTTATATAGCAATTCACAAACATTAATAATCTTTGATAACTTAAACATGAAATCCCCGTCTATCTAAATATGAAGTTGATCATGGCTAATTGATGCACAGCCTTCCCTGCATTAGGTTAATGGTGCAACATGAATTGATCTCCTGGTGTATATATATATATGAACAGGATGTCTAAGTGTGTTACTTCTCTAATACATGCATGACCTGGCAAAGTGTTTAATAAAACTTGCTAGCACCAACAAAGTACTTAATGCAGAACTTCATAGCCATGTCAGCAAAAACATCTGACATTTTACAAAGCTTGTTATTAACCGTCTGTGAAAGTTTCTGGAAAGAGAAAACTCTTCATAAACTAGACAAAATATATCTACTGATAATAAATTTGTTGGATTACTTTTGTTTGTTTTTAGCAAGACGGATTGTGAGTATAAAGAAGACTAACTATACATTAAAAGTGGAACTAGACTGGGACTTATACACTTTTATACCTATGTGAGACACAGCCATTCAATATTGACTAAGGGTGATATAGACAAAGTGTTGTAAACCAGTGGATCAGGTTAAATCTTCAAGTCTCCGTCTTAACAAACCTGTTCTCAGAAATGGCCGGGACTAAGAAGGCAAAGCCCTGTTTTACAAACACTTCTACATATCATTTCATACATGTTTCAAATATATTCTAACATCCCAAAATTCTCCTATAAATTTAGATAAGCTTAACATATTGAAATGTATGCATATGTAAAAGGTATATGCCAAGTAATTTCTACACCTCATACTCACGTTTTATACAAATATATACATAATGCCTCAATGCTCTTGGACTTTTTACAATTTTCCCCATGTTTGATTTCAGACTTGGTAGTCATGCACTCTCTACAAAATATTCAAGCAGATAAACTATTAAAGTATCATATATCTAAAGCTTGACTGGTTTTTTTTTTTGAGTAAGGAATTTCTCTGGTATAAATGATATGTACACTGTGTCAAAGCACTGTAATCAACAGGATTTACAAACTAAAACTACCTCAGCAAGACTTAACTCTGATTGGACATTTCACCTTTATTTCCTGCCCCAGAAAGACTTAACTCTGATTGGACATTTTACCTTTATTTAACACCACAACAAGACTTAACTCTGATTGGATATTTTACCTTTATTTAACATCCCAGCAAGACTTAACTCTGATTGGACATTTTACCTTTATTTAACACCCCAGCAAGACTTAACTCTGATTGGACATTTCACCTTTATTTAACACCCCAGCAAGACTTAACTCTGATTGGACATTTTACCTTTATTTAACACCACAACAAGACTTAACTCTGATTGGACTTTTCACCTTTATTTAACACCCCAGCAAGACTTACTTCTGGTGGACATTTTACCTTTATTACTTGAGCAAAATTTAATTCTGACTGACATTTTACCCATATTTACCAACCCAGCAAGATTTAACTCTAATTGGACATTTTACCTTTATTTAACACCCCAGCAAGACTTAACTCTGATTGGACATTTTACCTTTATTTAACACCCCAGCAAGATTTAACTCTGATTGGACATTTTACCTTTAATTACCACCCCAGCAAGACTTAACTCTGATTGGACATTTTACCTTTATTTAACACCCCAGAAAGACTTAACTCTGATGGGACATTTTACCTTTATTTCATGCCCAAGAAAGACTTAACTCTGATTGGACATTTTACCTTTATTTAACACCCCAGCAAGACTTAACTCTGATTGGACATTTTACCTTTATTTAACACCACAACAAGACTTAACTCTGATTGGACATTTTACCTTTATTTAACACCCCAGCAAGACTTAACTCTGATTGGACATTTTACCTTTATTTAACACCCCAGCAAGACTTAACTCTGATTGGACATTTTACCTTTATTTACCAACCCAGCAAGATTTAACTCATTGGACATTTTACCTTTATTTAACACCCCAGCAAGACTTAACTCTGATTGGACATTTTACCTTTATTTAACACCCCAGCAAGACTTAACTCTGATTGGACATTTTACCTTTATTTAACACCCCAGCAAGACTTAACTCAATTGGACATTTTACCTTTATTTAACTCTGACCTCTGACTTGGATTTAACACCCCAGCAAGATTTTACCTTTATTTAACACCCCAGCAAGACTTAACTCTAATTGGACATTTTACCTTTATTTAACACCCCAGCAAGACTTAACTCTGATTGGACATTTTACCTTTATTTAACACCCCAGCAAGACTTAACTCTGATTGGACATTTTACCTTTATTTAACACCCCAGCAAGACTTAACTCTGATTGGACATTTTACCTTTATTTGACATCCCAGCAAGACTTAACTCTGATTGGACATTTCACCTTTATTTAAACTGACATTTTACTTTATTACCAAAATTTAATTCTGATGACATTTCACCTTTATTTAACACCCCAGCAAGACTTAACTCTGATTGGACATTTTACCTTTATTTAACACCCCAGCAAGACTTAACTCTGATTGGACATTTCACCTTTATTTCCTGCCCCAGAAAGACTTAACTCTAATTGGACATTTTACCTTTATTTAACACCCCTGCAAGAACTAATTTTGATGGATATCTTACATTTATGTTCCTGGTTACTTATCAGGCAAAACTAAAATAATATGTCTATCGGGATATTTTTGCTCCAGGTTATTTTTGCCCTTGTACATGAATTTACAACAGTTTCATTTCACCCTCTTGGGATGACATAGAAGGGTTCTATAACTGTAATAAATTTCCACCAATTCTTTTATTCATCCTTCCTCTTCATGGAGGAAAATGGCATAAATCAAACAAAAACGAAAAATTCCCAGCACATATGTAACATTCTGCACTGGAACCATGGGATTACTTCACTGAAAATTAAACACTTGAACACTTTCTCAAGGAAACCATAGAAATTTACAAAATCTTGTCACAAAAATGGAAAGTTATTATTGTAACAGACACTAATAACACTATAGACACTACAAATATGACATTGTCCTCGCCATCTTATCTGAAGAAAACCAACCTTATTATTGTCCAATGAAGGTCTCATAATAGGCAATATGATAGCAGTAAATTAAAATTTTTTTTTTAAAAATCGGATTGCTGGGATCTAAACTTGAATTACTATGGTACATGGTCTGATTATAACAATATGGTACAGTGAGCATGTACCAGTGAATTTGAAAATTAGCTCATTCTTTACCACAGATTGAAGAGTGAAACATGGAATTACTGGGAGGATGTTTCAGAACACATCTTATTATAGCTTACAAACCACTAATTATACAACTGAAGAGCGAGTATATAACTTGTACACATAAATGTGAAGATCCTCTTCAGCTTTTTAAGAAGACACAACAAAGCACTACATACTACAGTGTCCCGAGACAGATCTTACAACTCTATTAACACTACAGAAATCTACTTTGTTCATCAGGTATGTTCACCAAGATATAAAAGGTGTGGCTTTACATATACAGGTGTATAGCAACCGAGCAAATCAGGTGTAAGATATCATTTGATAATTTTTCATACCACAGACTTACCTTTAATTCTTCAAGTATCTACATTATAAAGTACATAGGTAAAATGTTTACTTCAGATAAAAGCAAGCACAGGGACCTACCGTTAAAGATTCTCGCTTGCGGCCACTCGTGACGAAGGTGAAACCCTGAGTCTCTATGGCAACGCCAGTTCTTTGGACATGCTCTTCAACATACCTGTAACAAAGAAGGAACATTTAAACCAACATCAAACTATTCTTCATTTTAGTTGTAACTTACTGAAGCAAAAAGCAACCAGTCAGAAGCTTCTAAAAGCCAGCTTCCATCTTTTAAACTACCAATTTCTTTATTATCAATACATTCAAATGAGCCAAAACAGGACCCATTAGAAGTGCTACTGAAGAACATGTTTGTGGCTACCTATAGTTCAGGACCAGATTTGTAAATCGATCCTAAATGCTGCCAATTCATCAACTTGTGAGACAGTGATGTTTTGAGGTGGGATTTCCATGAAGAAGCAGCTGTCAATGATGTCTACCTTACTGAACATCACAAGGAAGGCCCACCACATGCTATCAAAAGCAATAGGGATTAACTAGCAGAGTGAATATATTGATATTTGTAAAAATGTGTATCTATTGATAACTGACCTATCACTGACAGCTATTAATCAAACAGATGTCAGCAAAATCATAAAGTCAAAACCAATGAAATTGCCATGTTTTAGGAAAAGCTCTGAAAAGAAATAGTCATCATGATATCTAGGTATGTATATATCTGGCTATAAGACCTGACAATAACATTTCTATAGAATTAATGTAGTTTAAAATTACAATTATATTAGCAACATATAGAGATTTCTATTTCGGCCTAGAATTTTTCATTACTATGGATGATTGATATTGGTTTAGAGTGATAATATTTATGATTAATATTGAGAACAGGCCATTTATAAAGCATGACAAAAGCTGTGCTGTTCATTATAGGACCATACAAAAATAATTATGGATCTGAAAGGTTAAAACAAAACAAGAAACACTGACATGACAACAGTCTTAATCTTACATCAAACTCGATGAAACTGTATCAAAATAGGAAACAAAAAAGAAAGATTTATATGGAGACTCTTTGAAAAATATACGGAAATCAAAAACAGGTCTCCAAGATGAGAAAGCATCTTCTGCTTCATTGACGACATCAGCCATGTAGATCTTGGTCAATCAAAAAAAAAGGCAAAATATTGTCAAGGAGACCATACAGCAACAACACAAACGTATCAAAAAGTCCTATGCAATTTCTAAGTTGATACATTCAATTTGTCAATTTTCTAGCTAACATACTCACTTCTGCTTTTTGTTTTAATTCCTTACGATCAATTAATCAAATGGAAGAACACATTTTAAAATATAGTTGCATTTCATAATGTAGTGCCAGAATTACTTTATGAATGCTTGAATTACCATAGAAACATCTGCAACAGAACAAAGGTTTGGTTTTACTATATATTTCAAAATTGTTTGCATGTGAAACAGTAACACTAAAAATTCAGGTTTTCACAAGAACAAACAATGCTGATTCAAAATTTAGTCATTTTGTGAGACGTTTTGTTAAAATTTTCCTCAAATAATCGATAAAAAAAACCTGACAGATACCTGATGTATAACGTTGATCTAGTACTTCATTTCTTTGTAAACCAATAGTTATACCACAATCCTGATGCTGCAGTTTCTAGAAGCTTTGTACCATCACAAAACAGATGTGTATGTTTGGTCAAGAGCTAAGTTGACACTGATGTGTAGATTCTGCACAATACCATAGCTGGTCAAGAGTCTGTCTAACACTGATGCGTATATGAAGCAGTCGCTGCGAGACAAAAAGACAGACACTGCTGCATGGTTGTGTCGCGTGCTAACCTGCAGTATAATGTACATACAAGCAGATGCAGCAGTGTTAGGAGGAATCGTCTATAAGGAATAGCGTACAAGAATTCCCAACACATAAGTCTGCAGACGTTCACTCAGCATATAAGCTTTCCAATGAAGTTGCACCTCTCTTCCCTTCAGTCAGTATATATATTACACAAGTGTTTCAGCTAACCATCCTTCCGTAGTAATCAATATTCTGTGAGCTTGAAGACATGTAATAACTTTATACAACAAAATCCCAGTCTCAGCTCTTCTCTTGGCTTGCCTTATAACACAACCTTATATGCTATATACTATATAATATACATGTACAAATACTACAAACTTCCAACAGAAGGTTCATTTGCTGTTGAACCACCATTCTTACTGACGAGGTCTTATATTGCAGCATTTCAAATCCAAAACTATGCAAATTACTCAGTATTACCATTTTACAGAACAGATAATTCACAATTTTCAAACTACTATAGCACATGATCAAACAAAAATTGAACAGCATCAATAAAAAATTGACTTTAAATTTGGTGTTGATACGTCGCTGGTAACCCTTCAATGGTCTTGGGTTATCGACAATGGTGTTTAATATAATCAACTCATGTTGCAGGGTTACCGACCATGAGGTTATTATAACAGATAGTTTACTAGATATACATTTTTTTTTTCTGGCAATTTTGAATTTATGTATATAATTATAACCCTTACAATAAACCTATGACAAGCAGGAATGCAATATTCTGTGTCTGGCTCTAAATGTCCTATTTAAAAAAAACTCTGCTGTTAGCTTTTTCTTTATTGAAAGCTAGCTATCATTATGGCAGGTTGTTTACTGCATTTGATTGGTTGACCCTATCAAATAAAGATTTAGGCTTGTCATTAAAATGTTCTTTTTATAATCACGAATTTGACTACAGAGTGACTGTCAATAAGTCACTAAAGCAGGGGGTATCAATTTCAGTTTAAGCAAATGGGGCAAATCAGTTTCATTTCCAATTCTTTTTGTAACAGTTAGAAGCAAATATAATGAGCAAAATTTAAGTCACTTACTGAACAAAATTTATCTACAAAAGGTTAAAACAACTTTGAATAATAATCCAAGAAAATTATGTTCTTGTTCAAAGATTAGAAATGTTCATGTTGGACTGAATCATAACCATAACTTAAGCCAAGACATTTTCATTTAAAAAACCTTGAAAATCAGGTAAGTTTTAAGAGTAAGGATTGATAAAAGTCGTCTCGAACAAGCTCCAGTTCACATAAGTCATTTCTGTAGCGCCATTTCTACATTTAATCTGCAAAATCCCAAAGATCAGCAGGAAATGTTTATTCTGAGTTTCATTTGCATAATACACTGCAGACAAGCTATCAGTGGCCTCTCTGCCAAGAACTGATATTTTTTTCGGATTCTGTGTTTTGTGGTATTAGTCCACCGTGTGATGAAGCCAGTTTTCACAACTGTGCGAAAATGGTAATGTCAGTGTTTGTTTCATTTGTGCATATTTCTGCTGGTATGTTAGGTGTTTCAGGTAGCTTATTAATAAGAATTTCATTAAGATTGGCTGATAAGAAATTTACAAAAACACTTGTTACATTCAAGAAAAATATTTTGACTGACAAGTAAAATTTTCTGGATTCACTGTCAATGCTCTAGAGGTTTACCATAACTTTCATCCCTTATCCCCCAAAAGGCCTGAACTTTCCCCCCTCATTCTTCAAAGAACCATAGCTTTTACACCATCCCCCAAAGAACCATCTTTTATCCCCATCCCCCAAAGAACAATAACTTTTTTACCCTATTCCCATAGAACCATAAATTTATCCCAATATCCCAAAAGCAATTGTTTCTTTTATGATAAACTTTCTATTGAATAATTCGAAACATTTACTAACAAAACTTGCTAGGAATGCTCTAAAAAGGCGTTTTTCATAAATTTATGTAACTTATGTCCCAAAAAGAATATTTCCAAAAGATTGATGTTTAAATATACCAAGTAAACATCACAGCTGTTGTTGATTTCAAGAAATTTGCAACCTCATCAATCAGGATTACATTTAACAATGATCTATAGTATAATTGATACCATGGATGAGGTTTGTTGTCATGTTTCAAGGTAGAAGTCACCCTTACTAGAAAAGCTAGCTTTTTATCTCAGGGACAAAGTTCACAAGAACAAAACAGGATTGTACTTCATAATAATCACATCAGAGTTATAGACACCATTATTACTATTTACCAAAATATATAATTACTTGTCTTTTTCATGTAGAACTGCCAAGGCTACATTCTACCATAAGCACACTCTTATCCTATTTAGAATCAAACATTTCATTTTCAGAATTTCTGATTCCATACACAATTGGGCAAGAGGCATTAAAGCCTTTGAAAATCCTCTTTTCAGAAAAGGAAATACCCATATACGTCGAGACCAAAATTAAAAATATTTTTTTTTCCTTATCTTTTCTCAAATCTCTAGATAGAGTTCAGTCCTGTTTAGAGATTTTTCAGTAGATACAGATTGGTGTTAGTTACTGTGTTCATTCCACTTAAAATGATACACGTCATAAATATCTGATCGTTATTACCCAACCTTATCTTCACAGTTCATATTTATGAATGTGTATTGATCAACAGAATGCGTCCTTATGATAAGCAAGTGTTTTTTAATGATGAGGATTAAATAATGCTGACATAGCACAGGCAATGTCTGGAGATGTGTCTATTGAAGAGACAGTGGTCAGCTGAGGCAATGACGAGTTAAGCAGTTATTTTTAGCCGATGCAGACGATTCAGGAATGATTCTATCGATGGGGCGAGAATATTAATGTATATTTCTACTAGCTCTCTATTGCTACTATTTATACCTACCTAACGATAAATTATCAAATAATAAATAATATCCTATTGGGCATCAGACTATAACGTATCTATCATGGAAGTTAACTCTATTAACGTCCTTAAAAATTCCAGTGAAATTTGTGAAGCATTCACATGACATTCACAATATATGTCCCTGATCGGGTGACATAAATTCTATCACTGAGTTAGCTAGATATTAAGCTCTGTACTTTGTCGAGTTTACTACTCTGTGAACAGCCAGGGTCATTATGTGGTAGAGTCTCATTGTAGTAGCTGTACTGGCTACTTCACTGATCAACATACTGGACCATCACATGCCATTCAGGGCAATTAGGATAAAGTGTTTTGCCCAGGGACAAAACAATGCCAGCACAGACCAGTTCGTTTCTCAGCTTCCTGAAAAACACAAATCGCCATAGATAGGATAGAACCAATCA